ATTTCATCATTCAACATCTTCCAAATCATAAATTTCGGGTAAACTTTTTGAGTTTTTGTACATATTTGAGTTTCATTGTAAACGAGTTAGAATCAATTGTTAGGTGTAGAGATGTTTATAAATCACATGAAACATAGTTTAGAATAAGTGTATGTATTATTCGTTGTCCCAAATGGACGATCAGGGTTTTATTTTTGACATTTTGAATAGAAGAAGACGTCATTGTTGCGACCTCTGAATCTCAGAAATTTCTGGATATACATCTCCGAAAAAATTCAACGTTTCATATGCTTTGGGAAATTTCGGAGGTACATCTCCAAAATGTTTTCGTAGATATATCTCAGAAATTTTCTCAGCCTATTTATTTTATTTATATTTCTTGTTTATGATGTTCTTTTGCGTAACTAATTATATTGCTAATTTTACCTTGCAGGAATAATGGCTGACAGAGTCGACAGACTGAGACTTGGACGGAATTCTCAACATGCATATGTTCAGCGGCAGCAGAGCCAACATGTTTTGAAGGTAGCAGGTACATCTGTCCAGGCAGAGGCGTCGACTTTTGGGGCACAGTCTACTCCATGGGCTAAGCCTTCACCTCAGGCCACCTCATCTGCATCTCAAGCCACCCCATCTTCATCTCAGGCCACTCTATCTTCATCTCAGGCCACTCCACCTTACTATTATTCTTCCCGTAGAAGACGAGATGCATCAGCTGATGCGTCACTTTCCCCATCCTCCCGCAGGCGCCGAGACGCACCTGTGCCACTCCTGTTGATCTGATGCCACCTCCTACTGATCTAATTCCACCTCCAGAGGGTGAGGTTACTAAGGATGTAGAGCCAGAGAGATTTGGAGGAGGTCCATATGATATGTCCCTACTTCCTCTGTATCCAGACCACACTGCCAGACATATCTGGGACGAAGAGGTAACATTAGTTTGATTATTTATTTATTTTTTACGTTAATTTAAATTGCTGACATTGATTATTTCTAACTTTGATTATTATTGACATTAATTATTTATGGAAAATTGCAGGTGTGTGATTGCCATAAGTTTCTGAACCATAAGAGGAAGATTTTAGCATTGCATAGCTGAAAGACCAGTTGTTTCAGTCAGTTTTGGCCGCTTCTAGGTTGCGTGACCTATGCATGACCGGTTATAGTCTGGTCAACCACATGATGCTTAGTACATTCGTGGGGAGATGGAATTATGAGATGTCTTCTTTTCATCTCTCGCATGGTGATATGTCTATCACATTGGACGATGTCTCGCCTTTGTTGCATCTTCCGATCAGGGGGAGATTCCTATATCATGGTAGGATGACCAAAGACGAGGCGGTCGAGATGATGGTGGAGCATCTGGGGGTTTATCTATGGGACGCGATTGAGGAGATGGATAGGACCAGGCGGGCTCATGCTAGGTTTGAATTCCCGAAGAAGATATATGATGATGAGATCTTTGCTGCACAATAAGATGATGGTGATGCCGATCAGGCGGCCTTACACAAGACTCATACTTTGAGGTCATATTTCCTTTATTTGATTGACACTTGTATTTTTGTGGACACGAGTGCCACCTATAATGACGTTGCATAACTCCATTACTTCTTGGATCTCACACGTATCCATGGTACGATTAGGGGGTGCCTTTCCTGACCTATATGTATTCAAAGTTGAGAGATGAATGTCAATGGAGGATGAAACAGGTCACAGGTAGCACGACTCTACTGGTGGTAATAATTTTTTATACTTGAATGTTTCTTTTAATTGTTTTTTTCATTTCATATTTGCGATAATTCTTGATCCCTTAATGCTTTTTATTTTCATTTCAGGCTTGAATCCTCCAACACTTCCCGCGCATCGCTGGTTGTGCGTGTTGGGATGAATTCACCGAGGAGATGCCACATGCTTGTGCTTTTATCTTGCTAAAAGGGAACCAGGCGGTCGAGCCTTTCAGAGTCTATCTTGACCACTTGGTTGTCAAGGAAATCCACTTCAATTGTTACATGGACCACCGTCTAACGCACCCATTTGATGACATATCTCTATACTCCGAATGACTGGCATGCAGATCGCATATCACTTCTTCTCATCTGTCCGAGCGCGTCATGCGGCAGTTCGGGTACACCCAGACCATCCCCAGACACCCTGTTGTCTCTGCTCCTCTTGCCTTGACTTGTATATAGATAGATGAGATGTTTGCTGATTGTTAGAGTCATCTGGTACCGGATGAGGCTCGGACTACCATATTGCCGAATGAATGGAACTACGTAGACGGATACATCAGATGGTTCTTCACGGTCTCACGTTCGTACATGGTACTGACTGCTTTAGGAGATCTGCAAAGACCAGCTCATCCGGAGATTCTAGATGAGCAGAAGACTCAACTAGATCATACTGAGGATGTATTGCCTTTGTGTCGTCGCATAGTGGAGATTGTGCGAGCAGACATTGATGAGGATATCTTCCCTGAGGGGTCTGCTGTGCGGCGAGTACTGGATGGCATTATTACGAAGACACAAGGAGAACTATTGTACCATAGACATCACGCGAGGACGAGGGGATCGATGACCGAGGAGACAAATCAGACAGACCAGGCAAAGGAGGCACAAGAGGTAGAGAAGAGGTTGTCTGACACACCCAGTAAGAGCCTGTTATTATTTTAATGTAGTACTATAGTTTGTACTTTTTTTCGTGACCTTGTTACTACATGTTAGATTTTGTGTTGTACGACATTTTACTATTATATTGCTATATTATTTTGTATGTCTGTTATTTTATTTGACGTCGTTCTTCATAATTCATCTGAAAACAAATACACAACTTATTATAAAATTTTTTTGTTCTGATACACTTTAGAGATGTATCTCCAAAAAATTCTCGTAGATACATATTCAAAAATATTCAAATGAAAATGAGTTATGAAAGATATGTTATGAGCGTTTAAGGTTTAAACAGTTTCAAATATATATCTCCAAAATATGTTAACGTTTATTCAGAAGTGAGGTGCGCTCGAAAATATATGTTTGAAATCTAGGAGCATAATGGAAACTACACACGGTCGATAAGAAATGCATAGGATGAAAAAAGAAATTCCCTATCAAAAAGTCTAAGCCTTTTTTATTTAAAAAGAAAATTAATCTAATGTATGTTAATTAAATTGGTAAATTTGCAACTTAAATCTTAAAAAAATATATGGTCAATTAAAACTGTAAAAATTGTAATGTATGTTAATTCAATTCGATTCGCCTATATCTTTTTTATAATAAAGAAACCTGTAAAAAATGATTTTTGTTCAAGAATTTTAAAACATGTTCAAGCTATTTTTTAAATTAAATATGGTCAATTAAACTTTTTAAAATTTGTGATTCATTTTATAAGTTATTTAATTAATCTGAATTTTTTTTAATGTATCTTGATCCAAATTACTAAAGTGGTTCATTTAACCATATAAAAATGGCAAACCCATATACTAAAGTGCCAAAGCCATAATTTCAAATGATTTCTTAACTTTTAAGGAAGTTTATGATAAATTTAGTAAATAGTTAGTTGATAGTCGATCATTAATATTTTATAATTAATTATTAATAATTGATAATTGATAATTAATAGTAGATAAATTAATTTAACAGTTTCATAAATTAATGATTATATTAATTGATAAATATAAAATAATAAAAAATAAATTTTTTAATTAAAAAATTAATGATTCTATTATTTTTTTATATTATATTATTAAATCAATTTTTATTTTATAAAAGTAAATATATTAATAATTGTTTTAAATATATGAAAAATTAAATATGACACGAAATTATATTTAATGTTCATAATTGAATCTTGTAATAAAGTTTAACAAAATACATAAAATAATAATATTATAATTTTAAAATAACAACAAAAATGAGAAATAAAAATATCTGATTGTGAAAATGAAAGAAGGAGAACTACAATTTAATTGTTTACTATAATGATGGAGTAGAAATGAAATTCAATTAAGAGTAAAGACTAAAACAAATAAATGATGTGAATGGACGAAAATGGGTGAAAAATAAAGAAGAAGAAAAAAATCCGAAAAAAGAGTGGCATTTTAAATTATAATAAAATATAAAGGGAAATAATAGTTTTTTTTTGTTAAAATAATAAAGATAAAGATGAAAAAAAAGTAATAAATTAAAAGTTAGGTACTTAAAAACTACTTTAAATAATTTTCGTAAAAAAACAAAAACTATTAAAAAAATTATGAATTACAATTTAAAAATCAATTATTAAATTGAACTTTTTTTATTATATGAGTTAAAAAATTATTTTAAAATAATGTCATTCTCAATTTTTAATATAAAAATAATTTCTATTTTTTCAATTTTGTTTTTTTTTATACATTATTTTTAACATATTTATAAAATTAATTTAATAAAAGTGTAATTTGTGTAAAAAACTTTATATGACATTATTTTTTCAAACAGAGAGAGTAAAAGTTAAAGCTAATAATAATATTTAATTTGACCGAATAATTTAGTGGCAGGCAAAATGCTAAATTTAAAAACAAAAAGAATATAAAAATTACACCATAATAAATGTTAGTGATTTGGTAATTTTGATGTGCACACCTCACAATAATCGTATTTCCAGGTAGGCAGGAGTATATAGTAAGTAACGCCTTCCTCTGTCTTCACACGGACGACGGAAAAAAATTCAAATGAAAAATTACAGATATTGCACCCAAAAAAATCATTGTAATTGGAGAGATTTGAGTAGTACTTTATAAATTAAATTAAATTAATAAATTGAACTATAGCCGTAATATTTATATTTTTACAGAAGGAAAAAAAAGTAGCAGTCACATCATGCCAAATTCAATTTATGATAAAAATAATAAATGAAATATAAGTATTAGTCGAAAACAAGTCATAACAGCTTAACTCAACTCAAAACCCCTGAGTCGTGCGCAGCCTCGTAAGTCACTGAAAAGCCAAAACCGAATCACAGAAGAAACAATGTCGATCGCTTTTTCCTTCCTTCCTCCTTCTTCCCATTCTCTTTCCTCTCTTTCTCCTTCCACTCCCAAATCCCTCCCTCCCATTTCCTTCTCATCATCTTCTCTCCGTCTCAATCTCACTCCATCTCCCTCTCCTTCTCTCCGCCTCAACCGCCGCGCAGATCCTCTCTTCATTCTCCATTCCACGGACTCCGGCGGAGGTTTCGGCGGTCACGACGGTGGAGGCTCGTTCGGCGGACACGGTGGCGGCGGAGATGGCAATGACGGAGAAAACGATGACGGACACAGCGTACTTAACGAGGCGCTTCTGTTGTTGGCGCAGGCAGGCAGGTCGTTGGAGAGTGTGCCGGCTGACCTAGCTGCCGCTATTAAGGATGGTAAGATTCCTGCCTCCGTCGTTGCTCGGTTTCTCGAACTTGAGAAGTCTCCGTTCATGCAGTGGTTGCTTAAGTTTACCGGTTTCAGAGAGCGTCTTCTCGCTGATGATCTCTTCCTCGCTAAGCTCGGTATGGAGTGCGGCGTTGGCGTCATTGCCAAGGTTTCATTCATTTACTCCACTGTTTAACTCGTTCAGTTACAGATATTTACTTGTAATGATGACGTAATTAAAGCATTTGGTTAGTTTTGGTATGAGATTAGTAGTGAATTGAATTGTAAATTGGAGCAGCAAAATAGGTTAATTAGGACTAATTTTATGTTAATTCTGATTGATGTAATTATGTATTTTGTGTGTTTATTTGTGGATTAACAATCTGCTTTCACCTGTATTTCTTGTTGTCTTCTTAGACCGCTGCTGAGTATGATCGCAGGAGAGAGAACTTTTTCAATGAGCTTGAAATTGTGTTCGCCGATGTGGTATGAATGTTCTCAATTTTGCAGATTTTTTTCCTATGACATTTGTTGCTTAGTTTCAGTTACTGCAAATTATTTTATGATGCCTTGCAATGGATATGAGCACGACCTATCTTGTTGCTTTTTGGTGATTTTTCTCTTGTGTGTATGCTTTGTTAGCCTTTTCATCTTTGCAACAGACTGTTTTTGACATGTTCATGAGATGCATTGTGTTTCGAAGTTTTTGATCGACTAGAATTTGAGATATCTGTTGAGAAAACAAATTTTTATTTCCTCTTGTTTGTTGCATTTTTTGTCACTTGTTTTGGTATGAAGATCATCATCATGAGACTGATTAAAATAAAAAAAAAATATAGCATGATATAGACTAATTGGAGAAATTAACGGTTTATTTGATTTATATGTAAAAAGAAAAACAGTTTCTTTGGTTTTAGGATCAAATACTTTTGATGCGATTAATGCCAAATGAAAGATATACTAAAAATATTTTTAATGAAAAGCATGGCACCTTCATTTGTTTGGATTAAAGAGTGTCTTTCTCCGTGGAAAAGTTTATGTATTAATATTTCAATTAAATCTTTGTTTTTAATCTTAAGACATGTTTGCTATAGTGGAGAGAAAATATTATTTCATGTGAAATATGTGCATGCACTCAATTCCTATAACATCCCTATTACATATATTGTTCGCAGGTCATGGCTATACTCGCAGATTTCATGCTAGTTTATCTTCCTGCTCCTACTGTTTCTCTTAGACCACCACTTGGAGTTAGTGCAGGGGCCATTTCTAAGTTTTTCCACAACTGCCCAGATAATGCATTCCAGGTTCGCATTACTTTCACATGGTTTACATTACTTAAGCAATTTTCACCACTAAATGTTATAAGTGTTTACTTACCACATTCTTAACTTCCTTCCACAGGTTGCTCTCTCTGGAACATCATATTCCTTCTTGCAGAGATTTGGTGCAATTGTGGTATGTACAATTGGGGAACCTATGTTTTATCTTTTCTTTTTAGGTTTTAGTTTCTTGTGGCTAATTGTTTTACAAAATGTTGTTACCTTGCACAGCGTAATGGGTCCAAGCTTTTTGCAGTTGGAACTGGTGCATCACTGGTTAGTTCTCATTATACTTGGGGTATTTCTTGTGCTTAGTGGTTTAATAGAAAATGAAAAGTTTTGACATCATTTGACCTTCTCGTCACAACTTTTATGAGCACTTCTGGATTTTGCATTGTGGTTGACTCGTTTGTTTTTCTCATTTATCTTTAAATTGTGACTTCGGTTCTAGCCAGACTTCTAATGTTTAAATTCCAACAGTGGGGTTTATTTTTCACCCCAGATTTGGTATAATATATATCTTCTATTATGACAAACTCACTTGGTCATCAAAAATTAATTTGAAATCATTTATCTAATGGTACTGAAGATTGAGATAGTGAAGGGTTTAAAATGTTTGCCAAGTATCTATGTCATATATTACAGCCTTTTATTCCAATAAAAATCCTGCCAATTGTTATTTACATTCATTGTTTTGAATGTAAGTGGAATCACAACTAGGACCAAAGACCGACACTTGCATTTTGTTTTCGTTCAGGTTGGGACAGCTGTGACGAATGCTTTAATTAATGCAAAGAAGGCTGTTAACAAGTCTTCCGCAGATGAAATTGAAAATGTTCCCATATTGTCTACCAGTGCTGCTTATGGTGTTTATATGGCAGTTTCGAGCAATCTCAGGTAATCGGGATAATGTGTTAGTGATTAACATTAGTGATGGGAATTTTTTAAGCTAATCTAAAATCTACTAATGCTTCAAGCAACTCGTGTTTTAACAATTTTATGTTGTTTATTGTATGATTTCTAAAGAAAGCTTACAGTTTATAAATTGATACTATATATGTTACATTGATCACTGCCATCATATTAAATATGTTTTCCGCTGTTCATGTCTTGAGTAATTGAATATATAGATTGTTACCAAAAGCTTCTACTAAGAATCTTATTTGCCTGACAGGTACCAAGTTGTTGCGGGAGTTATTGAACAAAGGGTTTTGGAACCTATGTTGCACCAGCACAAACTTATACTTGGTGCTCTTTGTTTTGCTGTTCGAACCGGCAATACATATTTGGGTTCATTATTGTAAGAATCTTCACATCTTTTCTGAATACTTGAAACAATAACTTTTATTGTTGACAGTAACTCAAGGTTTATAATTTTTTACAGATGGGTGGATTATGCTCGGTGGATAGGAGTTCAGTAGGCCCAAAGACAAAGATAATGAATTGAATCTTTCTCGATGGACTGCATTTATATCAAGAAGCTTGTTTTCTTCACTATTTGACATCACAAAACAAATTAGCAGAGTAGCGCAATAGTTTTTTATTTCTCTATATTTATTTTATATGCTCATTGCCGAGCACTCTAGTTATTTTTCTTTTTTCTCATAAGTTCCCTCATTCAATTGATGTAACGAGGATGATAACAAATAGTATATTTTTAATCTTTGGGAACAAAGATACAGTTTGAAATTAGATGAGATGGTTGCAGCAATTTGAAAGATATTAAAGAAACAAGTCTTTTCTTACTGGCAAAAGAAATCATCTGCTTTTGAATTGTGACCCCTCCTCGCTCTATCATGAGCTAAGAGTTGTGTTTTATTTCTCAAATTTAATCTATGCTTAGACATTTCTGCTTGATTTGGTAGAGTTATGGTATCTCTTTTCCAGAGCTTTATCTAGAGTTATGACTGGTTGAGCTACACCCAGAGTCTGGATGATGCATTTCTTCTCTTTATTGAGCTAATTTGCTCTTGATTGATTGTGTTCAATTATTAGTTTTGCATGAATTTTTTTCCTTCATTATATAACATTGTCATGTTAGTAAATAGAACTTGAATTATCTATTACAACTTTTTCGAACAAGGATCAAAGAGGAAAAAATGATAAAGACACTGATCTAGTTCTTCTGGACTCTGGGAATCTAGGGATGGGGGGAAATGCAACTATCAGAAAGCAATAATAGAACATGAGAAATATCTCAATGCCTCTTCTACACCTTTTTCATTCTAAATGTAATCTTCTAGATTTCCATTGGGTCGCTGCATTCATTTTGGCTTTTGTATTTTCTCACCTCTTGAAACCGTTTAGAAATCTTTAAAATTGACATTAAACAATGTAAAATTCATCATGTTATACGATAAACATCAACAATAATATGTGAATAATTAAAAATATCAATCAAATACAAACAAAATTATAAATTAGATAGATTAGTTACATATTCATCAAACCCAATCATGCACATTACGTTCTCATCAAATTTATTATGAAAAATCACATATCTAATCAAGGTATCGTCTAATTTAATTGGTCTTTTGACCCTATATTGATCAAATATTGAGAATATGTTTTGAAGTTGAATGTTAGTGAATTGAACACATTTTTTTATAGGCGGAAATATTCATCAATCGATTATAATAAATTAGAACATTAATATTTGTTGAAGTTATGATTCGAAATTTCGAAAAGTATAACCAGATCCTCCTATATATCTCACACTTCCGTTCACAACTTTTAATAGGGCAAGATATAAAGTCATCAGTTATAATTCTGATTCTTGTGATTATATATATATATATATATATATATATATATATATATATATATATATATATATATATATATATATATATATATATATATATATATATATATATATATATATATATATATATATATATATATATATATATATATATATATATATATATATATATATATATATATATATATATATATATATATATATATATATATATATATATATATATATATATATATATATATATATATATATATATATATATATATATATATATGCAAGATATGAAGTCGTCAGTTATGATTCTGATTCTTGTTGTTTTCCGAATTGAAAAATTGAGTTTGACACAAGGAAATTATCGGGACGAGTCGCGTACTAGGTCGCTTTCTTTAAGACGTTGGTCGATTTACGACGACGTCTCCAGGATAAAACAGCCCGTTCAATAACGTACGATTGATAAATCGCTCTAGAAATACACCTTTCTAAGTCACAGTATCTGGCGAAAATAGCCAGTCGAAAAAACAAGAAAAGAATTTGTAGACGAAGAGAATTAAGGGAGAGAAGATGGAAATCAAAATTCGTGTGAACTTTTTGAAATTCGCTGCCATCACTACTGAACTTCTACCCTGTATTTATAGGCAGCTAGTAAGGCTGAGTAGGAGAAATTCGTGGTGAATGGAGAAAATCGTGGGAGAATGGGAAATACTGGATCTAGTCAATATGGCAGTTACTAACCAATTATTTTCTTAATTAATTAATATTTATTATTAATTAATTTTCACCGAATTATATTAATTAATTAATGATAATTAAATTCTATAAATTCGGGTCCAAAAAATAATTCATCTAGACCGGACTGAACCGGCCGGACGGACGGCGGCGGCGGCGGCGCGCGCGTGTGTGTCTTGATGGTCATGGGTGTGTCCTCACTCCTTTCACAAAATTGGGTGCCCTTTAGGGCCCAACCCAATTGACCAAGTTGGAATATATAAACACTACTAATATTTTCATTCCCTTCAATGTGGGACTAAAATGAATCTTTTCAAATTCACTTCTATATTAGTTCTTACTTGTGTTCATTTATTGCCCATTAATTGTCAATAAATCTTTCCAATTCCCAATATAATTCAAACATTCCCCCACTTGAATTTAAAAGAGATTTTAGAAGTACGTCAGACGTTTCTAAGATTGAGCATAAGCAAAGGTGTCTATGACTTGAACCTTAGCGTAGCGAGTAGGATTCTGATTCAACAAGAGTGACACCATTGTCTTGAACTCTATCTCGGACATAAGACCCGCACACAACCTTTCCGTAAGGTGTATTCTTGTAGCCCGTGCTTTAGTGGCCCTGCACGTGTATCCCGGTTTAGTGAATGCTTTAGGAATTCTGCCTCGAAATTCCATAGGAACCGGCCTCAGTTCCACAGTCACATAGGTGAATCTATCAAGAGTACTCATGTAGCCTAGGTACTCCCTCATACAGAGTATAGATCTCATTAAGAGTTTCTATTATCTCATCCTCTCATTACTTCAGGATTCATGCTTTACTTGCATGATCATTTTCATATTACTCACAACTTGTTATTACCCATTGAACCTAAGTCTTGGGATCTCCAGTCATTTAGGTCGGGTTACCATTATGAGTAACTAATTGCTTTATAGGCATTAGTCCCATCTTTTTGGAAGTATTATGGACTTTCTCTCTAGCTAATCCTTTCGTCAAAGGATCTGCTAAGTTCTCATCAGTGCGTACACGATCCACTCTCACAGCTCCTTTAGAGATACAATCTCTAGAAGTGCTATATTTTCTTCTAATTTGACGTCTTTTACCATTATAATAACGGTTCTCAACTTTTGCAATAGCCGCGGTACTATCGCAGTGGATCAACACAGCTAGTATAGGTTTTTCCCATAAAGGAATCTCAGCTAGCAAGCATCTTAACCAACTTGCTTCTTCACTAGCTGTAGCTAATGCTATCATCTCAGACTCCATTGTGGACTGTGCCAGAATGGTCTGTTTCTTTGATTTCCAAGATACAGCTCCTCCGGCTATACTAAATATATAACCACTAGTAGCTTTGGAATCATCCGATAAGGTGTTCCAATCTACATCACTATACCCTTCTAGTATAGCAGGAAATTTCTGATAGTGTAGGCCGAGGTCCATAGTCCTTTTAAGGTACCTCATCACTCGCTCAATAGCTTGCCAATGTTCGTTACTCGGCCTACTTGTAAATCTGCACAACAATCCTACGACATATGCAATGTCGGGTCTAGTACAATCAGTGGCATACCTAAGACTGCCAATGATGCTCGCATATTCTGCTTGTTTGACACTTTCTCCAGTGTTCTTAAACAGTTTCACACTTGGATCATACGGAGTGCATGCAGGTTTACAATCAAAGTATTTATATTTCTTTAAGATCTTCTCCACATAGTGAGATTGATCCAAAGAAATTCCTTGGTCGGATCTCGTGATCTTGATACCCAGGATCACGTTTGCTTCTTCGAGGTCTTTCATATCAAAGTTATTGCATAACAATGATTTCATATCATTAATGGCCTGAACGTTTGATCCAAATATAAGTAGATCGTCTACATATAGACATATGATAGTACAAATGCGATTCTCAGATTTGTAATAAACGCACTTGTCACTTTCATTCACTTTGTACCCATTAATTATCATTAAGTTATCAAACTTTTCATGCCATTGTTTAGGGCTTGTTTTAGTCCATACAGAGACTTATCTAACTTACAGACCTTGCTTTCTTGTCCTTGGATTACAAACCCTTCTGGCTGTTCCATATAGATTTCCTCTCCTAAGTCAACGTTTAAAAAAGCTGTTTTAACATCCATTCGGTGTACTATTAAGTTATAAATGACTGCTATTGAAATGAGTACCCTAATGGATGTAATTCTAGTGACCGGAGAAAAGGTGTCGAAGAAATCTATATTTTCTCTTTGTCTAAAACCCTTGGCTACAAGGCGAGCCTTGTATTTCTCAATCGTTCCATCAGGTTTTAGTTTCTTTTTCAAAACCCATTTGCAACCAATTGGTTTGCAACCCGAGGACAAGTCTACTAAGTGCCAGGTCTTGTTAGATTCTAGAGAATTTATCTCATCATTAATGGCTTCTTGCCATAAGTCTGCATCCATAGATGACAGTGCTTTTTGAAGATTTGTTGGATCTTCTTCTACATTATAGGCCGCATAATCGGCCCTATATTCTTTAGCAACTCTTGCTCTTTTACTTCTTCGAAGTTCTGTTTCTACATTGTCGCTGCTTTCAGTGCTTTTTATCACAGGAATGTGACTCGATTGTGAGCCCCCACTATTTCTCGATCTGAAAGGAAATTTGTCTTCATAGAATTCAACATCGTTTGATTCTATGATTACTCTGGCATTTAGGTCATAAAACCGGTATGCCTTACTGTTTGCTGCATACCCAATGAATACGCATTCATAGGCTCTACTAGCGAGTTTAACTCGTTTTGGATCCGGAATTCTGACATAAGCCAGACAGCCCCAGGTTCTCAAATAAGACAAATTTGGTTGTCTTTTCTTTAATATCTCATGAGGTGAGATCTTACTTTTTGACTTGGGAACTTTATTCAGGACATAGCAAACAGTCAATAAAATTTCCCCCCACCAGTGAGG